GTTGAAAACTGTGGGAAATATATATTCCTGTTAATATATCAATAAAAATGACACATAAAAATGTTTTAAAATGTAATTGTAAAAAAATTAAATACATATCATGAATGCTGCTTGGTAACAGAGACTAGACTAGTTTATGGACTACTGAAGTGTGACCATGAAAGACTGTCCTTACAACAGAAACGGTGAAATCGAAACACCTGTGCAGTGCAATACAAAATAAACAAAGAAAGTCTTCAAGTCTTCAAGGACCGATGTAGTTGCAAATTGCAACTCCCTCACTTCATCCTCTTCTTCCAAGCATGAAGGAGAAACAAGCATAGTGATAAAATGCGAAAGACCCTGTATAGAGCCAGTGTTTGTCCGTTCTGGGATACTGTAGACATGGCGGTACCACATGGTAGCCTTCATGGAAGGTGACCCCAGCACCTGTAGATATAAAAGTCTCATTCCAAGATAACAAAAACACAAAGATTCTTATTTTCAGGTGATAATATTCCATTTTTGCCAATAGATCCTCCCACATATTACACACTGGACCTTTACATTCTTCATGCTTTGGCTGCAAGGTGAAAACCTTTTCTTCCCCTGCCCAGTCTTCAACCTGTAACAGGCATTACAAAGTTTTCTGCGATGAAAAGGGGCATTTTAATCAGTCCACAGGCACTGGTAATAATACCAGCCATATGCTGAAGACAATCAGGAGGTCATGATTTGCCAAATCAAAAGCAGACGTGACATCCAATTCAACACAACAAAAATCTTCTATGTGAGGCCTTGAAAGCAGTCTGAACCTGATCAAAAGTGTTGTTGAGATAAATAGCGTTTATGTTTGTATTTCCTTTAGTCTAAACCTGTAATACATATTTACATTATTACTAGTTTCTAGTGAGCAAGTTCAATTCAGCAACAGCAATGCTAACCATTCAAATATAACATTTTGAATGGGGGTTAAATCCAAGCAGACAAAGCATATATCTTAAAAACTTTAATGCTGTATTGAGCCTTGAAATCCAAACTTTCTTGAACCACAAATTATTTTAAAATATTTTACAATAAACACAAACACACCATTTCCACAAAGATGTGAAACTACAAGGGAAATAAGTGAGATTGCGTCATATCATTCATATATTTTGCTTTTTTTAAGGAAACCAAGCTGTTGAGACAATTACACTGAGATTTGACAATTTGAGTGAACATTTTTTACAATATTGTCAGAATCTTAATCAAGTAGGTCTTAATATTTGTGAAAAAAAACTTAGCTGAGATGACTGATCTTTATAAGGAAATAAAAGCATGACTCTTAGAAATCTGCTGTGGGCCTCAGAGAGAGTTAAAGTCACCGACAGCCACAACTGCAGACCCCTGCCGTTCATACCAACAAGCACATTGTCCAAACATACACAACAGGGCAGTCGCGGTGTGTTCTCACACAGATGCAGCGGAGACGCTGTTCTTACAGAGAAAAGAGAGACTGCGCAAGACCTTCACTACTGTCTGTCAGTCAAAAGAGGATATGAAACAGTGGCATTAAGATAAGATGAGGAAGTGGAGTCACACATTCAGCACATGCCCTAAGACATCCCACCCACACTCACCTCTGATAGATCATGGGTCATGTTGTCATATAGCACATGCCAAGCTGTCATTACTGTGGTTTAAAAAGTCCAACATTTACTGAGAAACTTGCACGGCAATTTGTTTTTGTCTCGGTCTTTTAAGGGAAATCCAGTCCACCATAAAGACAGTTCCTCATTCCCCCTTTCCTTGTTTAGTCACGAAGAAAACTGTCCAGGTCATGGGAGATCTGTCCATATGGCACACGGATGAAGCTTTGTTTACACACACCTGATGCTCTTTCACACTAGAGTACATCCATTGAGCTTAGTCAGTGTCCCTGTGTGCGTGTGTGCGGGTGTGTATCCACTGCTGCCTCTGTTTACCTGAAGAAAATTAACCCCATCCCTAACACTTACAAGCGGACACGAGTCCAATGAGGCAGAAAACATGACCCACACACACACTTTTCCATACACACAGCACACAGGATGCAATACTTGCGCTAATTTGTGCCCTTTTGTGACGAGGTGATCAGACATAGACTTGACCCAGGGAAGAGAAATGATTTAGAACGGTCAGTCAACGCGGTCGCCTCTCCTTTGAGGTTTTAGAGCTTGAAACTTAACTCTGTTTTCCTTTGCTGGCCATCAGGTTGCTTATCGATGTGAAGAAGAAGAGTGCGATCAGTCTGTCAGGCGTCACTGCTGCTCTGCATACTGGCTGCTCACCTCTGACCCTGCTGACAATGACCTCATGGCTCAGTATGTTAACTAAGCCCTGACCCTTCATACTGTGTGCACTCCATAACCCCGCTGACTCCTCTGTGTGCATCTGTCCCATTCTCAGCTTCCACGCTGCACACACAGGTAAAGGTCCAAACAGCTACACAGAGCCCTTTCATATATTTTCCTCTCAGAGAATTGGTTTTTCCGTCCAACTTTTGTCTTATTGTTACAGTAAAGACTCTGACACTGTTAAATAGCAGGCAGCAAATATCTACAGCAGTCTTCTCATTCTATTTTTCAGTTCAGAGGCATTCTTAGGAACATTATATAAACGCGCCACAAGGCACATGATAAAATTACAAGACAATAATTGAATTAAATTGGTTTATTGACATGTGGTAGCGCTGCATTAGTGTGAGAGCTACAGCTGTACTGCGTGCAAGTGTTGCTGCACAGTAGATCTATCGCTTTGATCCGGTTACCCAACGGAAATGTTTCAATTCATTCATGGATTCACAGAGATGAGGAGGAGGCAGATAAAGATGGCAGAAAGGGAGACCGGGACAGAGGGAGAGAGATACTGTGTCTTTCAAGGAGAACGGTAATTCAAGGTTTAACCGTGTGATGAACTCATGTGCTACAATTCTGCATCAATGTTGAAAAAAAACACTCACTCCCGTAGTACGGCCTGAACACACACTGACAACACAATCGCTGAGTGTGTGTGATCACTTATGTAAATGCAGCTCCTATTTCCTCAGACCAGGAGCTGAACCTGCCCCCATACATGTGAATGCCCATCTGTTTGTCTCAGTAATAGTGAACAACAAAAAACAGGTGGAAGTTCTCGTGTCCTTCGGTGGAACCTATATGCGAAAACACGTGTGTCACCAAGGAACCCAAACTGTCAGTGTGTCTGACCTCAGTGATTCTGAACCACTTCCTGATGCAAAACTCATCTTACTGGAAGCGACCGAAGACAAAGCAGAATTAAAAAAGGGACACCTTACTTTACAAACATATTTCTACCTACGCAGTCATTACAAAGAGTAACTGCTGATTGTTTTAAAAATCCCTATATATGTATTTCTCCTGTGGCCGCAGTTCCTTCCACAATCTATGTCATAAATACGGTCATCATATTCATAGTTTATTTGGATAGCTGAACCTTGGATTTTCTATTTCTGGTAACTCACCTTATAAACTGTCGTCATAGTGTTTCATGAAACAACACAGTCACCACTGGATTAGCACTAATGCCAGTGTCTAAGGGGGAATTTGTTAGAAATGCACTAAGAATGAAAGTAGACAAGTCATGAATGTAAGCAGAAGCAACAATTACAGTACAATTATGAGTTACCAGACCTATTGTGACCTTTGATCTTTAAACCTTATTGTGTTCTCTGGAGAATTGTATGGACGGTCACAGAGGCCAGGCGTAGAGGTCAGGGGTCAGGGTCTAATGTCAAATACTTGGTAGGTGTGATGTACGGTGGAATACATACTCTAGGAAACATAGCGGTCAGCCTACAGACTTCAGACAGACTAGCTGTGGAAAGGACCGACTTTAACTGGGGTAGGAGTTAGGATAAATGTCTGGTTGGTCCACAAAGCACTTATTTCACTCTCAGGAATCTGTAATATTCCAATCTAAGTGAATCATGGTAAAAACTTGGTATGGCATGTGAATATGGTCAAATAGTTTAACAGGAAAACAAGAAAAAACATGAAGTTCCTTCTAAAAAGAATCACAGCTAAATCCCAGGTATATGTCAAATGACATTACTGGAGTAAAACACTGACATTGCATTATGGGATAGCATGAGGCATAACAAATTGTCCCCTCCATTCAACACACATGCACACTAATAATAAACACACGGTATGTAATTAAAGCCCACACTGCAGAAGGGACAAAGGGGACATAAATAGTCACTGTTGCCTTCATTATCTTTGTGTTTGCACCGTGCAAGACTTTCAGGCATAGTATATGCAGCAGAGCATTACAGTCTGTACAGTTTAAAGTCACAGCTTATACATAGCAGCATACCCCGGGGCTGAGGTGTTGTTACTGATACCAGCCTGGCTGCTGCTTATAAATGGCAAGAGGGGCAGCTCTCAGCAGAGACTCACTGATGACAGTAAAAGGGGGAAAGTGGTGCATTGTGGTCCTAACCCAGTGGGTGTCAAATTGGTCCAAGAAAGCAAACTTTTGTTTTTATACTATTATGTCATTTTATTCTTTAATCATTCCTTATTTTTGAAAAGATAAATAGTAGAAAATAAACAGTTTAGTATTTGTTCATGAATGTCTCAATCTTGCTGCAATTACTCTATTCAGATTTATAACATCATTATGATGAGCTAAACACAAAATCTTGACAAATAGTGCACTGTGATTGCCTGTATGTGAAGTTTAAGGATAAAGTATGGCTGCAAGCAGTTACATGTCTCGTCCACAATACATGAATATCTACTTTTTTTGTTGCATTGTTTTAGTAACATTTAATTAAAAAGTACAAGACAGTGCAGCCTTTCATTTCCAAAGGGCAAATATTAAGTTGGCTACTTTTCATTTTAAACTCAATGAATCACACGACTTTGCACGTAAAGCGAGAAAATACGCAGTTAAAATGCACAGTGGTGCTTTCCAGCGGTAGTGGTGTTGTAGCAGAAGCTACAGTTCAGTGGCGGTGGTGAAATATCACTTACCCGATCTGAAGGTCAGACAGAACGAGGTAGTCAGGTTCAGGAAAAGTGCGTGCCCACTTCTCTCGTGCGCTCTGGTAATACCAAACCTGCCAGGCACTACCAGAAGAAAAAAAGTAGCGTTCAAACAGGGGGAAAAACTCCAAGAGTTTAAGGTTTCTGTGTGTTTCCACAGACCGCTACGGCGTGTACAACCTGGCACTTCAGAGGCTAATTTGTTTTCGTTTGGACCGTCGAGATGTTGTCACAACTCGGAGCGTCTGCGGTCACCTGTGCCACCACCAATGGCGCTGTGCAAGCGGGTTTGTGGGAAATGTAGTTCTCTCACATCCTCGACGGACCGTGGTATTTTGAGGCGATGACGTGACGCCTGTTGACTGCAAAGAGAGTTTTAAGAGGTCCTCTAACTTTAGCCACAACACTTCCAAGACCAACACGACTGTCGTTTTTTACTGTCTGCAACTGAGACGCTTCCCTCTGTCTACTTTTGTTTGTGGATTCAAGTTTCCATGTTTAGGGCCCATTTAGTTTAGTCACAACAAGTGCACTAAGTTCATGTGTACCGTGTACGATGCAGGGGTTGGACGCTCATTAAACTCTGGGCATCATAATGTGATCCAATAAATAGTCCAACAGCAAGTTTACACTTAAAATCTTACTTCACCTTAAATCCTTAAAACTTAAAAAAAAAAATTTGAGGCCAGAGTTGTTATGTAATAGCTAGATTTCACATTGTGTGTCTTTCACCAAAGGGATGAACTGTTGTATAATGTATTAACACTGCACAGCAGGCATGATTGTACCTCTGTGACAATAAGACCAAAATAATGACTAACTACTGACAGCTGCAGTTCAGGCTGTTGGTTATGAAGTTTTACTATGTGATCTTTTTTTGTTTGTTTGCCTGGTCATAAAATCATATGGTATGCTCACTGGTTCAAGTACACTAACAGTTTCAAAAGCAGTGCATGTAAAGAGAGGCCTAAAACTAACTTCAGTTATGTGGCGCATAAATAAGAGATTGTTCAGCATGCGTAATACTCAGTATGTCCACCAGAGGGAAGCAAACCTTGAAGTAACATATTGTACATCAACAGGACAGAAGACAGGAGGCATTTTGAGTGGTCACTTTCAGTTTTTATTTCAGTGCAGGAAGTTTATTTATCAGTGTAACTCTGGTCTGATAAAACTCGACTCAAGGATGAACTGGTTAGAATTTGGAGGTCAAAGGTCAAGGTCACTGTGACCTCACAAAACAAGTTTTTAAGAATTTCTCAAGAATTCATGTAAACTATCATGACATTTGACACAAATGTCTAATAGGATTAATGATGAAGTGATGACATTTTACATCAAAAGATCAAAGGTCAACTTCACTGTGATATAATGTCCTGCAAAAACACTTTTTGGCCATTATTTACCACCATAACTCAGGAACAGGAGGAGAGACTGTGACAATATTTCACATTTGGTCAGATACTAAATTGGTGACACTAATTTTGGGGGCCCACCTTAAAACGGGAACAATAAAGATCTTATGTGCTGCTGGGTTGAAGATGTGTGTAAATGTGTTTGTAGCTTCTTTGCAGAAACATCTATATTTGAGACATTGTCTGATGTCATTGCTAAACTTTCTATCAGAATCAGCTTTATTGGCCAAACGTGCACACATACACGTACAAGGAATGTGATTCTGTTTTTGTTTCTCTCAATAAACATATCTTACTTAACACCCTAATAGACAAACAACAGTGGTCCACTACAAGTTCATTGGTTTGGCTGATATTCACCTTCAGGTGATTGTTGTTGCACCATGTGACAAAGCTCTCCATCAGTCCTCTGTACGCCTCTGTACAAAATAGTCTCTAAGTGAAGACAGCAGGTTTCTCACTAGATTCATACACATCAATATAGCGATAACTTGCATTTTACCCCAAAATACACTAAATACCTTTTATTAATTAGTCTTCACTACATATATTTTGAATCTGGACAATCATGGATCTAAACTGCAACTTGACTGGTTGGCATACTAAAGTCAGGTGCTAATTCTGGTCATTTGAAAGTGTATGCGGTTACCCTAATGTATTTTTCATCTACATTAAATGTTTATGTGCACATGAATCCAGATAAAATTATTCTGTGTCTAACGGATCAATTAATCAACATCAAAGGTAGCTCATAAGACATCATTGTTATGATTCTACCCACATTCAACATTCATAAGTAAGACCACTTTGAACTCTCTGTGCCATTAAAAGTTGAGACAGATTCTACAGGAGGCAGTAAGGGACAACACACACATAGGAGAAAATCAAGGTGTTTTTGATGCAACATTGTCAAGATTTAAATTAATGCAAAATCTAAATATTTTAGAGCAACTTTTCATGTGAGCATAAAAACAAATCAAAAGGAGGACTGTACAAATGTTGCACCCAGTTAAAACTCATAAAGAAAACACGTGTCACAACACACGTGTAGGTTCAACATGCAACAACGTTGTCCATGTAAAATAATGGCAGACTTATAAATCTATTTATGCAACTCCAAATGGACATATTCCTCTCTGCCACATTTGTAGGGCTGAGCAATATACCAAGATCTATCATCTATTAACTATCACTGTAATCATATCACAGTACTTCCTTTCATTGTGAAGCACTGTGCACTTCTCAGATTGCTATGTAAAAAATGCCATTAGTTAAATTTCTCCCAGAATTTCTAAAATTCTTTTCTTTTCAATTTCATCTGAAACTCACAGTTTCAGTTTGATTTTCCATTATTATGCTGCCCAAAGTGAGAAACTACTTAATCAATCTCTAGTTTTTCACATATAAACAGTTACTGATTTCAGGTGATGATCTTCTAGGTTAATATTTCAAATTAACCAACCCTACTTCTCCATATTTTCCAAAAGACCAAGGAACTGCTAAAGCTGAAGAGTGTTGAAAGAGTAGAGGGACTGACAATGTCACTATGTGAACATGGCAGAGCTCCACACATAGACAACAAGCCCAGTCTCTAGGAATAATGTTCATACTGGACAATTCTGCAGCACATGATTTACATCCAGTGTCAGTGCAGGAAGAACGGCTATGTTTAAATAACACTAAAAGTGGCGGTTGGGGTGGCGGATGGGCATGTAACATGATCGATTTCGATACTGTTTGCTTTCTTTAACATCTAAGAATGACGATGATCGTAGTAAATGTGCAAATTTTGTTATTAAACATAATTCAGGTTTCTGCACAATCATATTTCTGTTTGACAAGCAGGATGAGATGACAGCAGGGTTCTTGGTGTGACGTTATGCTGTAGCAGGAACTGAGGGGACACGACTCCTATGTGTAGGGTGAGTAGGGGTATTGTGGATGCCACCAGTCCATGAGCTTTACACTCTGTACGGGATCCAACACCACCTGGGTCCCGCCCTGATCCACCCTCTTCTTCCCTCGCTGGAGCGGCGAGTCCTGGAACAGTAGACGGACGCGGTGGTGGCGCATGTCTGTGCTAACGTTGATTGTGAACTGTGAGAAAGACAAAGACAGAACAGCTCAGATTAGAAGAAGAGTTGAGGGTACTTGGTGCAGAAGTTAATTTTTGCATTAGTTCATGGCCAAAAATGTCCTTTGTGCTAAAGTTTACTGCTAAGCTTAGAGCTTAACAGTATTAATAAGTAATTTTCTACAGCTCTTTTCAATCAAACGGAGCACCCTTATTTATGGAAAGTGTTGTTATTTAAAACACAAATCAGCTATAGGGGAACACATGCAAACGGCCTGTGCTCTCTAGCCTAAGAAGTAGTAGGCAATATCCACCAAAAGCCCAAAGTTACTAACCAGGGTCAGCGTCATGCCCATGACCACAGGGGTGAAGATGAAGTTGAGTGTGGTGACCTGAAGCATGTAGCAGTCCGAGTCTGGGTTTTTGTGGACATCTTCGTATTGTCTTGGCGTTCGCAAGGACGTGGCACAACCATTCTTACTGTGTCCCTGCTGGGATGGAGATAATCACAGACATTCACACAAATAAATATGACAGCAGAGACAACGACCGGCCGACTACGTAAAAGGTTATCAGGTTAGTGTAGTTGGCATTAAACAGCTCTTTTTACCTGCTTTATAAACTTGAAGTTGAACTCCCACAATGCCTCTGGCCGAGTCCCTGAGATCTTTCTGATCCAGAACAGTAAACACTGCAACAGGAAACGTTAAGAACAAAAAGTCACCATTTCCACTAAGTGAAAGGCTAGTTTAAGTTTATACAGAGCTGCATACATATGTTTCTTCCTGGTTGTAAAAACATGCAAAAGATTTGAAATACATAGCCCAGATGTGTCAAACCACGTGCCATCGAGGGTCAAGTCCCCAGGTTTTCAGTCCAACCGAACAGTACACATGGGGATTCTATCATGTGGGGCTGGGTGATACGGCCTAAAAATAAAACTTCTGTTTTCACAACAGCAGGTGTGCTGCGTGTGGAGGAGGCTTGTTTATTACACCGCCTATCCAAAACAAAACTGCTGTTTAACCTGGACCAGATAACACCTCTCTCTTTCTCTACTGAAATGAGTCGCCAGCTGGGCAGCCAGCAAGTAAATCTATCTGTGGGAAAGAATGAGTATAACCTTCTTGTGGAATAAAAAAAAAAAAGCCTAATCTTACTCTGAATTTAGACGTCTTTTTTCAACGTATTAAAATGTATTGTATTTAATCTGTTTATCGCCCAGCTCTACTATCAGTTCAACTTAGTCTGGTTCTCTTTGATCTACCTAGGCCTGGATATCACAAAAAAATGGTTATCAACAGCCTCGGTTAGCCCTGAGCTTTCCTATTTAGCATAAGCATATTAGCATGAAGAAGACGGGGCTCCTAATTACATACCAATCACATACAATACTACCAAACGACAAAACAAAAATAAAAACTAAACATCTGTATAGTTGAGGCGGCTGACTGTCAGTTCATTTACCTTGGAGTTGAGCAAGGTGGTGGGCGTGGATTCGGGCAGGGCAGGAATTTTTGAGACACGCAAGTCAAACGGCTCATACAAATGGAACAGGGAGCGAATCACACGGGCCCGTAAACAGCGCATCCTGTCAATACAGTCAGGCTGGAGGCGAGATGGCAGGTCAACATCAATCCTGTAGTGTCTGTGAAGGAGACAGAAGGCGGCAGCGAAAGGAAACCCGTTAGTTATACACAATGTCAGTTTACTCCATCACGTTACTCACTGCTTTCAATTCCAAGCTCCAGTGCCTTTGACGCTTTCATTACCTCTGACTCTTGAGTGAATGACCAAATCAGTCATTGGATGTATCAATCAATCAAAATCCCATCAAAACTGCCTTCAGATTACAGTTTTAACTTGGGCTCTGAGGAACTTCTAGTCGGCCCTACACTTTTGTTACAATATATCCACCCCTGACTGGAAGGTGTTGATAAATAAAATCACCTCACCTTCGGTACAGCCTGGTCCAGAAAGCTGCAGTGCATGTGACTGTCCAGGCATTCCTACAAATTAGAGCAAATCTGCACACATCCTCAGGCCGAATGTAGGAGGCGAGCACTAACCAAATATCCACTGGATACTCCTCCCCATCACTGCTCTCACTGCTCTCTGTGAAGACAACATGCAAACACAGTAAACAAGTATTAGTATTGGCATTCCCAAAATGTTGTCACCCTCATTCAAATGAGTCCTCTAGGTGCATACTTTTACTATGTATCAATTACAAAACTATACCCTTTCTCCTCTTGTTTTTCTTCTTAAGGGCCACTTTAGTTTCATGTTCTTCATCTTCTTCAGGGTCTAGTTCATCACTGCTGTCCAGATCGTCTGCTTTAACAGTCGCTGCAGACGAGAGGACCTCCTCTACGGCTCCCTGAGATGCTTCCAGGCCGCAGAGTAATTTTACTAAAAGAAAAACATAGTGTGAACTTAAGTAAGGATTTGGATCACCTTTCCAAACTCTCCAAGTGGCACTGTACAGTAGTTTCCAATCATTAATAAACAGAGATGTCTGACTGCACACATCAACACCATCACATGTTACCTTCTTTTTCAACTGCATTTGCAACAGCCTTTTTCACCCTCCCTGACTTCACAACGGCCGGGTCGGCATCAGCATAATCAGCGACGGTCACTGGAATAAAAACAGACACATCAGCAAAACCTGCGACCACCACTGACACTGAAAGGACAGGACGTTACAGCCCGTGTAGCCTCTGCAGCGTTCCTTCAATCTGCCTTTTGGCTCTTGCTAATACATGAAAACGAACTCGCTTTTAATATAATAATGCCATATAACATTTATGTCATATTCGAGGTTGTAAGTTAAACATTATTTGAATCCCAGCGGACTACGGAGCGCTAACAGCGGGCGGGGCTAGCTTACATTACCTGATTCCGAGCAAACGTCCCCGGCCCTAAATTTCAGCCGTTTTCGGTTCCCTTTCTTGGGCATGTCGACACCAATGATTTACGGACGCTTAACGGGCCTGTGAGTCCTGCCATGTCTCTATGGCAAGCAACGGTAGAGAGAAAGAAAGAAAAATGAGAGAGAAATTGAAAAATGTTCCGCCAGGATCTTCAGCCATCATGGAATGACGTACCGTTGCAAGTTACGCGAGAGTATCGTTTTTTCCCCTCTGCTGCTTTAATGCCATCTGCTGGTGACTGTGAACATTACAATGACTCTTGTGACCAAAATGTAGAAAAGTTAAGACTTGTTTTCAAATGTCTATAGTTTATGATTTTCCTTAATTGACTGACGTGTTTTAAAAAAAAATCATTTTAATTGACAGTAATAGACCCTGAAGCAACTGTGCTACTTCCCAGAAGGCTTCATAAACACTTAATATTTCTATTAGCGTATTTCTTTTTAATATAAAATTGTTGTTAATGCCAAATTGAAACAAAAATCACAAATGCTGTCTGCTTGATATGAAACTGTAGATCACTATCTGTGGTGCTCTTTGCCTTTATGATGTTTAATGTGGTGCTTTTTGTGTGCAGGCGTTAGTGCTGCTGGTTAGACTTAATTCCCAAGATTTCAAGATAAGGAGGAGTCATGAAGGAGCATTGAATGAAACTGAAGGCTTTGAAGAAAATGCCAGGTTTTTCCTGCAGAGCCTGGTGCCCGTCTAGCTTCACTGAAGAGCCAAGTTCCTGTTTGACTTGTTTAATCTGCCCATCCACCTTTCACCCAACAGTAGTAGTAAATATAGTTTGGACTCTCAGAAGGTTGCTAATGGACTCCATTAAAAATGCCCCAACATCACTGAGCCAGGTAGACTTAGATAATGACCATCAGTCAGAGAGAAATTTAATGGTAATCACTGACAATGTTATCAGACCCTAGAGTCATAGGCTGATGCTAAAAAGATCCACAGTGCTGTGATCAGTGACCTATATGTAAGTATTTTGTAAAAGTGCTGCAGTTCTCCACAGCATCCCAGAATGGTTGCTGACAACATTGTTGTCAAGACCTTGAAAACTCCTCCGCAGAGAGTCACATCTCCTCGGGCAAATATGAAACTAAAGCAAAATTAGTTTTCGGAGAAATCTCTGCTCCAGTTCAAATAAGACAGAAAAAAAGCAGAGGTGATGCTTCTACCTCTGGCCATGAGAAAGTATTCCCTGACAATTAAGTAATCTGCACGGCAATTGTCTCATCTTCTCCAACTTTAGAGATGTCAGGGGGAATTATGTTCTTCTTATCTGTGGCTGTAGCTTTCATCAAACCATTTACTGTCTGCAGATGTAGCTTTAATGTCTAATATATTATGACCACTGTTTGCTTTCACAGCCCCATCCTTGTAACACAGAATACTGACTTTTACCTAACTGCTAAATAACCTTGGCATGTTATAACCTCAATTCTAATTATTTGTCAACAATAGAAAGAACATTTTTGCAACAACTATTACAATAATGGCTCATTTGCAGAAATTTATGGCAGTCATCTTGAGGTGTATCAAATTTGCCACTGAATAAAATGGTACTAATCAGAAATAAGCTTTAATAGATCGCTTAATAATAAAAATATTGTAATGAGGGCAAACTACGTTTTTTCTAAAAACAAAAAAAATAAATAAATAAATAAAAATGGTCCGGTGATGTGATAGTAACAGTTAAGGTAGGGGTTAGATACTCAGCCTTTATCCTTCTATGTAAAGTTTGTCCTGTTCATGTCAGTATGTGTTCTCGGAGTCAGTGGTGGAAAGTAAATACGTGTATTTATTAATGCACTGTACTTAAGTACAATTTTGAGGTGCAAGTCAAAGGAAAACATTGTACTTTTTATTCCACTACAGTTATTTGGTATTTAGTTACAAGTTACTTTGCAGATTCAAATGAATAGTATCAAAACAGATTCAGCCACTAGATGGCGACAAATAGCCTTCTGTACCTAAACCTTCGAGGTGAGACATATTTGAGGGAATGTCTACATGCATATATCTCGATTTACGTGTATTAAAATAACAAAGGTCTTAAACACCGATTTAATTTTTTTTAATGAAACCAGATATACTGGCACATACTAAGAAAATGAATACATGATTGGCCAAGTATGTAGCCTACATATAAAATAAACCTGACTGTGTGATATGAAAAGATCTAATATTTAGATCTAATTTTAGACCTATTTATAATTATGACATAATAACTGGATGGTGAAATATAAAGAATATAAATACTTTACCCAGTTATTCATTTAATTTCCCTAAGTAAGTAATTTCCTCCATCTTTCCATAACAATTTGTATCAACTTTATATTTTATGGATTTAATGAATGACACTACTATTTTATCACATTTTCACAACCCTTATCTTAATGACATCCACTTTTTCTTTTACAACAGCTGAACCCCTTTAGAAATGTGCTCAGTCACTACTTTCTATGTAGGCTAATAATACATTTCTTTTTTCACTAAACTGATATTATCATTCTGTCATTTTTTTTTAAACACTGTTCACAGTTTACTTTCAAAACATCAACCGTGAGCTAACTGTGGGAATACTCCATTATGAGTGAAAGCCTCACTTAAGTAAAAGTAAGTATCAGTAAAATGTTCTTAAAGTATCAAAAGTACTCATACTGCAGAAAAATGGCCCCTGTCAGAGTTTAACTAGGCCTAGGTTAAACCTAATAAACCTAGGTTTTTGGTTTATTAGTATGGCTGCATACATTTGTATGTTGCATTTTACAGCTGTAGATGTTTAAGGTTGTTGGAATAGTAACTACTTTACTCTTGGGGAGTCTAGTCTACAGTAATTCTGAACTCAGAAAATCAGCCGAGTTTTCAGCTTTGTGATCATGCATTTTCCCAGCTAATCCAAGAAAATAAATAAATTTAACACAAAAATTCAAATAAAAAATATGAAGATACGTGGTTTTCACTGGACATGAAGGGTATGCGCATTTGTAAAGGTAGTAACTGTAGTTACTAGTTAAAGCTCTCAGACAAATATAGTGGAGGAAAAACTACAATACTGGGACAATGGTGAAGTAGAATTTTACCTAAAATGGAAATACCCAAGAGTAAATTGACTTCGTTACATGCCACCACTGGTAAGCAGTTAATTGTCAGAACTTACCAGCACAAACAAAGTCCCAAAGAATGCAACACATACAACGAGTGTAAACTTCAGGGCCACCACCCAGTTAAGTGAGTTAGTCACTCAGAATAAAACATGGCGCGAGAAGCTGTTCCTCTCTTATATTACTAACATTTACAATCTCAGTGCTCTGGCACAGATCCTGCAGGGTGCGCTGCGCACTCTCAGTGCACAGTCCGCCTCTGTGGCTCGGGTAAGCTGAAGCCGCCAGAACGCGCATGTCTCAGGAGCTGTCAGATCATGGTCGAGCTTAGTGGTGCTGATGTGAAAAGTTAATTGCATTTTACCAATCAAGGGTCAAGTCTGTGCGAACTGTAGAAACATGATACTTTGTGTGGAGTTGAGAGATTATGCAATGACATTAATGAGCGTCCAGCTAATTCCAGTCATGCATGTGGTGCAACGCTTATAGGCTGAACGCTGGGAGTTGGTCCCTTATTTCCAGAGCAGCCTGGTAGTGACAACTGCAGATTCCCGTGTGTGTGTATGTGTGTGTG